GAGAGATCCAGGCCGGAAAAGCCCGAAATCGTGGTTCCCAGCTCTGGCTGGCGCCCCTGGGACCCACGGCGGCCCCGAGGATGGCGGGAACCATGATTTTGGAGAGATCCAGGCCGGAAAAGCCCGAAATCGTGGTTCCCAGCTCTGGCTGGCGCCCCTGGGACCCACGGCGGCCCCGAGGATGGCGGGAACCACGATTTTGGAGAGATCCAGGCCGGAAAAGCCCGAAATCGTGGTTCCCAGCTCTGGCTGGCGCCCCTGGGACCCACGGCGGCCCCGAGGATGGCGGGAACCACGATTTTGGAGAGATCCAGGCCGGAAAAGCCCGAAATCGTCTGGCTGGCGCCCCTGGGGCCCACGGCGGCCCCGAGGATGGCGGGAACCATGATTTTGGAGAGATCCAGGCCGGAAAAGCCCGAAATCCTGGTTCCCAGCTCTGGCTGGCGCCCCTGGGGCCCACGGCGGCCCCGAGGATGGCGGGAACCACGATTTTGGAGTTCTCTGCTGTTCTGCTGCTGCTGTCTGCTGTTCTGCTGCTGCTCTCTGCTGTTCTGCTGCTGCTCTCTGCTGTTCTGCTGCTGCTCTCTGCTGCTCTCTGCTGTTCTGCTGCTGCTCTCTGCTGCTCTCTGCTGCTCTCTGCTGTTCTGCTGCTGCTCTCTGCTGCTCTCTGCTGTTCTCTGCTGTTCTGCTGCTGCTGTCTGCTGTTCTGCTGCTGCTCTCTGCTGCTCTCTGCTGTTCTCTGCTGTTCTCTGCTCTCTGCTGTTCTCTGCTGTTCTCTGCTGCTCTCTGCTGTTCTCTGCTGTTCTCTGCTGTCTCTGCTGCTGCTTCTCTGCTGTCTCTCTGTTCTCTGCTGTTCTCTGCTGTTCTCTGCTGTTCTCTGCTGTTCTCTGCTGTTCTCTGCTGCTCTCTGCTGCTCTCTGCTGTTCTCTGCTGTTCTGCTGCTGCTGTCTGCTGTTCTGCTGCTGCTCTCTGCTACTCTCTGCTGTTCTCTGCTGTTCTCTGCTGTTCTCTGCTGTTCTCTGCTGTTCTCTGCGGTTCTCTGCTGTTCTCTGCTGTTCTCTGCTGTTCTCTGCTGTTCTCTGCTGTTCTCTGCTGTTCTATGCTGTTCTCTGCTGTTCTCTGCAGTTCTCTGCTGTTTTCTGCTGTTCTCTGCTGCTCTCTGCTGCTCTCTGCTGCTCTCTGCTGCACTCTGCTGCTCTCTGCTGTTCTCTGCTGTTCTCTGCTGTTCTCTGTTGTTCTCTGCTGTTCTCTGCAGTTCTCTGCTGCTCTCTGCTGTTCTCTGCTGTTCTCTGCAGTTCTCTGCTGTTCTCTGCTGTTCTCTGCTGTTCTCTGCTGTTCTCTGCTGTTCTCTGGTGTTCTCTGCTGCTCTCTGCTGCTCTCTGCTGTTCTCTGCTGTTCTCTGCTGCTCTCTGCTGTTCTCTGCTGTTCTATGCTGTTCTCTGCGGTTCTCTGCTGTTCTCTGCTGTTCTGCTGCTGCTCTCTGCTGCTCTCTGCTGCTCTCTGCTGTTCTCTGCTGTTCTCTGCAGTTCTCTGCTGTTCTCTGCTGTTCTCTGCTGCTCTCTGCTGTTCTGCTGCTGTTCTCTGCTGTTCTCTGCTGTTCTCTGCAGTTCTCTGCTGCTCTCTGCAGTTCTCTGCTGTTCTCTGCTGTTCTCTGCTGTTCTCTGCTGCTCTCTGCTGTTTTCTGCTGTTCTCTGATGTTCTCTGTTGTTCTCTGCTGTTCTCTGCTGTTCTCTGCTGTTCTCTGCTGCTCTCTGCTGTTCTCTGCTGTTCTCTGCTGTTCTCTGCTGCTCTCTGCTGTTCTGCTGCTGCTGTCTGCTGTTCTGCTGCTGCTCTCTGCTACTCTCTGCTGTTCTCTGCTGTTCTCTGCTGTTCTCTGCTGCTCTGGATTGGTTTTCGCTCGGTTGGTTTTCGCTTGAACGGATTACCTTTTCGCTCGAACGAACGTCTTTTCGCTTGAACGATCCACCCTCGGAAGGAAGAGGAGGGGGAGGAGAAGGAGGAGGAGAAGGAGGAGGAGGAGGAGGAGGAGGATGTGAGACGCGGGCGCGGCGCGGCAGAGAAGAAAACCAGAACCCCACCAAGCATGCGGGGAATGACGATGTCGACAGTTGCCCCGAATGTGGAGGTGGATTGGAGGAGGCCACCGGCGATTTACTCTTTCTGGGCGGTGCCCATTTCTGCAACTCGTGCGGCGGCATCCAGCGCCAGGCCGACATGGAACCATGTGCTTCGACCCAGTGCCAGCACGCTTACGTCGGCTGCGGATCTGGTTTATTCCGCTGCGCATGCATGGAGAAATACGTTCATCGAGACGCTTGTCTAGATGCAGAGAACGATGTGTTTCTATGTCAAACGTGTGTGTCTGCAGGCACCAGTGTTGTCTGCGATGGCTGTGTGGAAGATAGTTCGAATGCAGAACAACATAGTCAGTCCTGTGCTGTTTCCGAGTCGCTTGGTGATGGCCGCATTTCGGATGGTGATGACATCGAGCGTAAGCTTAAGCAGGCAAGCTATTGGAATCCGCCGACCCCTTGGGGATCATCGGCGTGTGAGATGCTTCCCCCTCCCCAAACCCCTCCCCCGGGAGCCCGGTCCGGTCGATTTGGAGGGGGGGGGGGGGGTCGAGCGCGAGCGGGGGGGGTCCGGGACGAGCGACTCACGGGGCTTTTCCGGGCCCAAGAGGGCCTCAAGACGGGCCAAGAAGCCCCCAAGAGGCCTCCAAGACGGCCCACGAAGGCCCCGAGACGCCAAACGACCGCTCCAAGACGCCCAAGATGGCCCCAAGACGGGCCAAGAGGTCTCCAAGACGGCCCCCGAGGTCCCAAACAAGCCTCCCAAGAGGGCCCCAAGAGTCTAAAATTGTTGATTTTCCATAGTGTTTTTCGATGTTTTTTGCTTTTCCGCCTTTTCGGCTTCCCGACGCTCCAAGACGGCCAAAGAGGCCCCAAAGACAGCCCCAAGATGGCCCAAGAGGCCCCCAAGACGGCCTCCAGACGGCCCAAGACGGCCCCAACACGGCCCAAGAGGTCCCCAAGACGGCCCAAGAGGGCTCCAAGACGGCACCAAGAGGGGCCCAAGAGGGCGACCAAACATGTTGAAACTCTAGCTTTCTGCCCCCAGGAGCCCCAGGGGGCCCCAAGAGTGCCCCAAGAGGCCCCCAGAGGCCCTCACGAGGCCGCCCAGACGCCCCAAGGAACCCCCAAGAAGCACCCCAGAGGCTCCGAAACGGCCCCCAAGTGGCTCCAAAACTCGCTTCCAGAGGCCCCCGAGAAGCGATCCGCGAGATCCCGATACACATACAAGAAGCCTCTCACCCATAACCCATAACCCAGAGCCGTTTCTCCGTGTCCCCCTTCTCCTCCTCCTCCTTTTCCTCCACCTGGGCCCCCAAGTGGTTCCAAACTGCCTGCCATAGGCCCCATGCCGGCACACCCTTTGCACGCGCCGTGGCCTCGCACATGGCCAAGTTGACCCATCATGACTCCTGGGCAGTCCCCCCAAAAAACTCCCGACCGCTACCGAAACGGCTCGAAGACATTCCCGAGCCCAACCTGGCTCCATTATGCCTCTCAGATGGCCCCAGATGAGACCACGACCGCCCGCGGTGTCGCCGTCCGCTCGGACCCCCCCGCGGAACTGCCCGAGACCCTCTGGCGGTGGCGGCGAACAGATACCAAACAAATATCACTCGCCTTTTCACCCCTTCGCAGCTTCTACTACCCCCAGATTGGCATAAACAAGGGGTCGGCGGTGTGGCGTCAGCCTAAGAATCAAGAACAGTTCACTTCGTTTGCCCGTGAATCGGTAAGGCTATGCCATGGTCTCGCAACTCATCTTGCGGAACGTCTACTCCTGAGGAGGTGGGAGGAAGCTCAACGCAACATTCCTGAGTACGGGCGCGGCCAGCTGCTTGACCGTCTTCGCACTGAATGCAGAAGGCCGTGACCGCTTATGGTTTGCTGAGTGGCGAGAGTGGGTGGTAGTTGTTGTCTCCGTGGACAAATTCTACAATGCTTCCGGGGTTCATGATCTGACCCTCGTGAGTCGATGCCGCTGCTGCAGGGCCCGCCATGGTGTTCGCCCGACTGAAAGAAAGAAACGAAGCAAGAAAGAAAGAACACAACATCCATGAAAACACCCTTTTCAATCACCCCTGCTATCACAGCCCAATGATCCATGTAAGTTCCACCATGCCCTTGAGATTACAAGATATCGCCGAGGTTTTATAATACGCTGTTCGCCCTGCAACGCCCTTGCAATGCGCTGCCGTGAAGCTTGGCGTGACCAAACAACTACGCGGATGAGGGGCGGGTGGTTTGCATACACACCTCTGCATGCACATACATTCTGCATCAATAGAACGTGAACGGTGCCACACTGCTATTGGCGATACGTTCCTGGAATTCTGGAATATCTCGAGGCCCTCGTCTCTGGATCCCGTGCGAATCTACAAGAAAGCCGGGAATATTGGAACGTGCGATTACGAAAAATACCTCCTCAGGGTTAAATGGTCCTCATATTACCATGTCCCAGAATTTGCACTGGTGGAGGGCGGGCCGTATGATACTCCATCGCGTTGTATAGCCTTGCAGCTGAAAGCATCCCACGAATACCCACGTGGAGGGAGGGCATGCTTCAACTTGTAGCTGTTGTACTATCGCTTCACACGGCCCTACACCTGACCACTTCCAACAATTAGCAATTCACGACTGGGTGGAAGAGGGCGGACGGAAGGAGGGCGAAGGAGGGGTCAGAGGCGAGAGTCAGGAGGGGGAGGCGCGGAGGCAGAGGGGGAGAAAGAGTTAGGAGGACGAACGTTGTCCCTGGATCCCACCCAGGGCCCATCATAGCATGTCTTTCCAGCTGCGCCCGGCCGCGACAACGAAAATCAGGCGCCCGAAAACCTCCGAAACGACGACGACGACGACAACGGCGCCGACCCCGACCCCTCCACCACCACCGCCGACTGCGACGACTACGGGCGGCTGGCCGGTTCGCGCCTCCTCGGCGTCCGGCAGGGCTACCTGGGCGCCCGGCTGCAGCCTGGAGCGGAGATGGCGGGGGTCGTCCCTCTCAGGCCCCCTAGCCCTCGTCGTCACGGCTGGATCCACCTTGAAGTCAAGGCTCACCCTAGGACAGGCCTGGGGGGCACTCTTGGATCCCCAAACTAGTAGATCCAGGGGTCCAACAAATCCGCCGACCCTCTCGGCGTGTGCGAGACGCTTGTCCGTTCGTGTCGTCTTCTTCGTCAGTTGTTATACGTCGTCTCTGCCGGCTCATTTCCCCGCGGCCCCCATTTCTCTGAGCCCGTCGCCGCTTCCCCCCTTGTCCTGGGCTCTCTTCACCAAACGCGCCAGCCAAGACGAAATTGAATAATTAACGTCGTCATTCAATCGAACGGAAGCCCTCTCCTTTTGATCCCTCCCCCGGTCGGAAGGGGGTCCCGGGGGTAGACAATGAAACCAAGAGGCGAGATCAGTGAACTCCCTGATTCATTGATTTGGGCCGTCCCCCTCCTCGTCCCCCCATTTTCCCCGGATCAGTGACCTCCCGAATGCACTGATTTGGCCCTCCTCCCCCTCCTCCTCTTCTTCTCTCCGCCTTCTCCCCATCCTTTTCCTCCTTTGCTGGATCCTTGGGGAAACCTATGAAATCCTGGTGGTCCTGTATCCCTGGGGAAACCCATGAGATCCTTGATCCCTGGGGAAATATACGAAATCCTGGCTCCCTGGGAACAACTTTGGGATCCTGGGTCCCCTGGAAACCTGTGAGATCGTGGATCCCTGGGGAAACCTGTGGGATCCGGGATCCCCAGGGAAACCTACGAGATACTAGACCCGTGGTGGAACCTGATACATCCTGGATCGTTGCTCGTCGCTGCGGCTGGACGCCGCGCGGAATACAGGCGCGTTCGGGACCCGGGGGGGGAACGCGGGGACGATTTCGACCGCGCCATCGAAAATTTGGGCGTCTGGGGCCCGCCGCGCTGAAGGCGGGGCGACGGCGTCGACGAAGAGACCACGAAGAGACGCCGACGACGGCGGCGACGGCTCGTGCTGCTCGTTTGGTTTGAAAAGGCACGGCACAGGCACAAACCTGCCCAATGCCCGTTCCAAGGGCAGTGCCCCTAAGAAGTTACAGTTGCGGCTGCGAGGTGAAGGGCCAAAAGGAACATAAGAGACAAAGAGCGGGAGACAGGGAGAAGGAGAGAGAGAGAGAGAGAGACAACACATAAAAGAGAGAGAGAGAGAGGGAGAGAGAGAGAGAGACAGAGAGAAAGAGAGAGAGAGAGAGACAGAGAGACAGAGAGAGAGAGAGAACAACAAAGACAGAGAATGATATGGAGGGAAGGAGACAGAGGAACAGCGAGAGGAGGTGAGGGAGGGGAGAATCAGCCTATGACTGCGGCGCGCTGCGCCTATCCTTACCCGACATCCTGCACCATTTCGGCCCCAGCGCCTTGTCCGGGCTGGTTATCCTCCGAAGCTGGCGCCGGCGCCGTGGCCTCGCAATGCTGCTCGCCCTGGTGGACCATCCAGATTCCGGCGCCCCAAATACACCGGGAGACCGCCGCTGGTGGGAGCGCCTCGAGCACGCGTGCGGGGCCCGTCGCGTCGCCGAACACGAGGACGGGGCGCGCCAGAAGATGCGCGAGCGCCGCGAGGGTAAGCTCGTCGCCCCACGTGCCGTCCTTGCGCATGTCCGCGACGCAGGCGTCGTCGTCGAGGTCGCCAGCGCGCGCGAAGCCGATGAACAAGTTCTTCAGCGCCTGCGTGTAATCGCAAGCCTGCTCTCGCAAGCGCTCGTGGGAGAGGGCCAAGCCAGCGCCGCGCGCCACTGCGACGAATTAACATATTCCAAGAGCCTCCGCATCTATGCGAATCGGCCCCCTTTCCCGCAGATGCGGTGCTAAGACTGCTAGGCACTAGGCTGCGCCCCTGCCTCTTCCGGGCCGCCTCGCCATCCTGCGACGACCTCCGAATGGCGATGTCCATTTGCGCATTCTCCTGGGCAACCTGCCCGAGACGGAAGGACCGGGCCGCGTCGAGGAAGGCGCGCTGTAGCCCCTTAGCCAAGTCTTGCTGGCACCCTGCCGACGTGACCTGTTTCGCGCGCCGCGCGCAGCAGTGACCGCGTTTCTTCGGCCTTTCGCAACGACGGCCGCGCCCTGTTGGAGCGACGCAGATTCCATCGTCGGGTCGCAAGCCTCCGGGCGCACACTCGCCGGCGGGCGGCCCAGGCGGCGCCAGAGCGAGGGCCTCCGCCTCGTCGACGCCGCCAGGCGCAGGGGCAGCGCCGCACGAGCCATTGGCGCCCCCGGGAGGCAGCAGCTTGGCCCTCAATCTCTCCGCCGTCTTCGGCTTGGGCTTCGGGTGGTTTTTGGGGGCGGCTCGACTTCGGCCCGTTGGCGAGGCTGTCCAAGTACCTCGGCGCGGTGAGCGCCTTCACGAAAACGGCGCGCTCGCTCTGGCCTGCCGCTTCCACGACATGTTTGTGTCCGTCGATGGCCGCGCCCTCCTGCGTGGCGTGGACGGTGACGAAGAAATGGCGGAGGTACATATGGCGGAAGGGATCGTGCATGCCTCTCTCCTTGCGCGCCGCAGCCAAGCGGGCATCCGCCGGGGGCTTTCCTTTCCCGAGCAGCATGGCGGATCGCATGTCGTCTGGCCGCTGCCATGTCCGTGACAATTCGCACTGGGGAGGGACGCGAAAAGTCTCTGCATTGTGGTCCGTCGCCAGACGCACGATGACAAGCTCTGCTCCGCGGCGTGCTGGCGGTAGTGGGCAAAGATTTCGTTCATGCCTCGTCGCCGGTGGCGCGTCTGGTCCTCGCTGAATCGCCCGCCCGCGGGCGCTGGGGGAAGCGCGAGGCCAATCAATGAGGCACTGGGACGGCTCGGCATCCGAATCGACGAGGTCATCGAAGTCGCCCTTGGCGATCCGAGTGTCCACGATCTCGCGCGCCTTCATCATGAGGTCGCAGATGGTGCCCCACTGGCAGCCGCTTGGGAGAAGCTCCTTCAGAAGGCGATGCTGCCACTCGATGGCGTTTGGGCAATGTGGTAAACCCGAGCGGGCCTGCGCCGACGCCTCACTGCCAGCTCGCCTGGATCAAACCGCCCTCGACGTGCAGAAGGTGGTCTCTGATGTATTTCGCCATGGCGATCTCGTTCCAATCGGATGGGTCCATCATCCTGGAGAGCACGGTATCCCACATGGCCGTGAGCGCCTGGTCGTTCTGAACCCAAGCCGAAAATCCAACGGGCCTTTTTGGGGCGCGAGTGGCTTGGAGCGTGTCCTCTTGTCCACCCCCCTGTCTGGATGGGATGGTGGGGAAAAGGGCGAGGGAGAAGAGAGGGAAAAGGGCGAGGGAGGAGGAGAGGAGAGGAGAGGAGAGGAGAGGAAAAGATGAGGATGATGCGGAGCAGGAAGAGGGGGAGAGGAAAGGACAGGGGACGCGAGACGACTGCAGGTAAAGGGATGGGAAGGGGGAGGAGCAAAAGAAATAGGTGGACGACTAAACATGATCGACTCACGAACCCGGAAAGGAGTACAAACATGTAAACTATGGCAGCGTTTTCAAGAAACCTAGTTGAGCACCGGGCAATTGCACTGCTGATTGTACCGATCTTGATGTACGGTGCCCAGGGCTGTGCAATGCTGAGCCGTGCTGACTTTCGATGTGCCATGTCGCGATTGTGCTCTACAGCGTTGTGGATCGAGTCCTCCTGCATATCCGAATCCTGATCGAACTGATCTGGATCTTAAGCTCGAACTGCCTGAGCACATAGCAGCTGGCCCAGAGCTAGTTGAAATCGTGCGGGACGTTCAAGCAAGACGATCTCAAAATCTGATTCGGCTCCGGAAAGGGACGACACGACACAGGGCACAGGCTCACGGACGCGCCACAGAATGTGCCATGGGGAACAATAAGGGATGCGCCACGGAACATGTCAAGGGACGTATTAATGGGGACGTGCCCTGAAGTGTTAGGGACCTGCCACGGGACGTGCCAAGGAGCGTGCCATGGGGCGGGTCAGAGGACGTCATGCCGGGGGACGTGGCATGGGGCGCGCCACGGAACGGGCAGGGAAAAAACGCCTGAGGTCAAGCCAGGAAACGGGACAGAGGACTAGCCAGCGATGTGCCACGCCAAGATGCGTGTCAGGGGACGTGCCAGGGCAAGTCACGCCAGAACGTCGCGAAGGACGCGCCAGGGTACGCGCCTGCGCGACAGGGGACGCCCCACGGACGGGCGGGGTTGGGCTGCGACGCGCTCTATTGCGACAAGCGTTCCGCTCAAGATATCCTCAAGACATCCTGATGTTAGACGTCCGCCTGGGCGACTCGGACACGTGAAAACAAGCGTCTCGTTCCAGACATCCTCACCACATTCTCACGTTAGACATCTGCCTGGGCGACCTGGACACGTGAAAACAGAAACGCCTCGCTCTGGCCATCCTCAACACATCCGTATGCTGGACATCTGCCTGGGTGACCTGGGCACGTGAAAGCAAGCGTTTCGCTTCAGACATCCAGCCCCAATCCTCATGCCAGACATCAGACTAGGCGATCTGAACACGCGAAAACAAGCGTTTCACTCGAAACAGTCTCAACATCATCATGTTAGACATCCGCCTGGGCGACCTGGGCACGAGAAACATAACGGTTCGCTCGAGACATGATCAACACATCTTCATGTTAAACATCAGCCTAGGCGGTTATGGCACGTGCAAACAAGCGCCTCGCACGAGACAATCTCAACACATCTCCATGTTGGACATCCGCATGAGCGACCTGGGCACGTGAAGACAAGCGTTTAGCTGGTGCCCGCCGTGGTCGAGCTGGAAGCCGCGAGTCCTCGTAACTTACACCGCGTCCGCGCGCCCAAGGCCGTGATCCCTCAAAATGTACGCTGGGTTTGCGCTGTCAACACCGCAGTCCCTCGTAAATTGCGCTGGGTTCGCGCTCACGGGGCGGCGATCCCGCGCATATTATCCGGGACTCACGCTCCCAGGGCCACGATTCCTTGTAAATTACAA